ATGTACCATCGGATGTTATGGAATTGGAAGGAGATACGTTTTTTGACTTCGCTAAATAATATTCAGATGAAAAAGTGGCAAACTTGTTGGAATTTCAAGATATTACTAATGTTAATTGTTTGCTTGCTTGCAAAGATCCTCTTGAATTATTATTGCTCGATTCGGATGATTACTTGACTTAAAGAAAGCAGCATGTTTGAAATTGAATAATAATTCATTTACTGTTTTACCCGGTGTAAAAAGTAAATTAAATGTTTTGAAGTGTGCTTTGACTAAGAAGCGTAATGAATTAAAAAGAGAATCATCGAAGATATCTTCTAACAGTTTAATTACAAACATTTTATCTGATAATAACTTAACTAGTAATAATTTGAACCATTCTGCAGATATATTACCCATGTAGCCGATTTTACGAAATAATGGACATTGCAATGCATTGCAAAAAATGTATATCACGAGGGAACATATCCAACTGAAAAATCGCTTTTCGGATCGGACTTCCTGAATATAGTAGAACGTAGCGAGATATGGAAAACTCCGAAAGGGCAACTGCCTATCAGTCTTCTGCCCGTAGTTATAGGCATTTTGCTCGAATTTCAGTCTTTATTATTGTATATAGCAACAAATTGAATGACAGTATTTTGATCTGAGAATTCTCCATAAACAGGTCTACTTATTAGTAGAACGTCCTGAAAATTTCAGCTCAAAAATGTGTTTTCTTCTTCAGATATTAAACGTCCAAAAAACACTGATATTTCACAAAGGTTTCTGCAATTTTCTTTTCTTTTGGAGTTTAATATCTGAAGAAGAAAACATATTTTTGAGCTGAAATTTTCAGGACCTCCTACTAATAAGTAGACCTGTCTATGGAGAATTCTCAGATCAAAATATTGTCATTCAATTTGTTGCTATATACAATAATAAAGACTGAAATTCGAGCAAAATGCCTATAACTAGGGACAGAAGACTGATAGGCAATTGTCCTTTTGAGGTTTTCCATATCTCGCTACGTTCTATTCTATGCAGGAAGCCCAATCCGAAAAGCGATTTGTCAGTTGGATATGCTCACTCTTCAATTGGAATGATTGTCCGTTAAATTCAATGGATTTCCTAAGCATTAAAAGCTTCCCGGAAGCACAAAGCATTTTTGAATAATTAACTAACTCTCAATATAAATTGTAACGATTCGAATCGTTCCAAATTCTATTACAACTGCCAAATAGCAATTTTCTAAACGAAGAAAAAAATAGAATAAGTCGATAGAAAACTAATTCAACATCTTACTTTTCTTAACAAAGTCGTAACAAAACAACCTAAAACAAAACAAATTTAGCATCGTACATTTTTAAGTAAAGGTGAAAAATAATACGGAATGAGTTGTTTGTAGCACCTCTATGTGTTAGTATGTATCTTGATTGAGCGGAATGAAAAGAAAACCGATGCTATTATATTTATCACGCGGAAGAATGCGCTCCTGAGAGGTTGTGTATGTACGAAAAGAAAGATCTCTAAAAATAAAAGTATAAGAAAAAGTGGATGAATGAGTATTGGAGAGGAATATTTTCGGCTCGCTCGAAATTGTTTCGCGTAGACGTGTGGCAAAATCGTAGCGTATGGAAGATTGAAATTACTTTCTACTCATTGGAGATGATTGCCATCTATCGATAGTATAGGTAGATATGTTTGATTAGGGTTTGTTAGATCGGGAACAGTTTGTTTTCACTTCTCCAGTGTTTTCTTATGACAAAGGACCGGCGGTTCATTATATACTCGATGTAAACTTTTTGTATTCAAAGTGGATGAGATTTTTTTGTTTTGCAGTATAGTAAGCAAATATTTGAAGAAAAAACTATAACATATTTTAGAGATGATTTTGTCGTGTTTTATTGTTTTGTTATAGATAGTTCTGATTAAAAAATGGCACCAAAAAAGACAAAGGAGGAATCACTGAATCAACTGAATAAGTACGTTTTGCTTCATGACAACAAAACATCTCGTTGCCATGTTGTCACACGTGATCAATTATCATTTACGAAGAAGGATAATTTAAAAACTGATACATCTGCTTTATTTAATGCAGCAGGTGATCCATCCTATCGTTTTAAAGGCATTGTTCTTTCTTCAGGTAAATAAGGAGAGTGAAATATTTGGGGAAAATATATATTGTTCGTATTTACAGACACGACGCAACAATGTGAAAAAACAAATAAAAATAAAAATAATAAAGAACCTGATGAAAATGCATCAGATTCATCGAATGAATTAATTATTGATGAAAGTGAAGGAAAAGGTACAGATGATAATAATGATGAAGAATCAGAAGATGAAAATGAAGATCTAACGTGCGCGACAATATCTCAACAACGTGGTAACACAATTACTACAACTAATAAGTAAACTGTGTCTGCAATACAAAGTATCTCAAACACTCCGACTGCATCGGCTTTGCCAGCAACAACAATTTCTTCAGACGCTGCTGGTGAGTCCTATTGATATTATTTGGGTAAAGAATTTCTCAGATAATGATTGACGTGGGACTTAACAATCAATGTAAGGAACAAGAGTTATGCACTAAATTTCTCACCAACAAAACTTCTAATAATTTATTGGTCTGATAATTAAAATTCGAAATAATTACAATAATAGAAAAAATATTTGAAGGTTGAATATGGAAAATATTCATCATAATGTTTTTAATTGAAATCATGAAAAAAAGTAAAAAAAAACTTCATGATTCAAATAATAAACCAGTAATCTGAATTTATCAGTTTCAATTTAACAGTAGAAACATAGTTTTAGGTACTTATGAATATTTCGTACTAACTTTTTTAATTTCATTTCTCGATTTAGTCCTGCAGCAAATCAATTGTAATGTTGATGTGACTCATAAACGAAAAAAACCATCTGGTGAAACACATAATGTTACTAACAAAACAAAACGTTCAACTGGAGTTTCTCATTCTGATTACGAGAAGCTGAAGCGTGAAAACAAACGATTAGCTAAGGAAATCGATATGTATAAAAATAATTGGATGCGTAAATCTCCTATTGTTTTGCTGAGGTATCAAATATCTTTTTCTCCAGCAAGACCTTCGGGTCCCACAGCATCTTATTTCATTGATGTTGGAAAAATTCTCTCTGAACCACGTTCTCAAATCATTTTGGCACTATTTGGAATAATGCATTGTAATGCATTGAAAATTTAGGCATTATCCTTCATTTTTTCCATTATTCATCCATTATCGGCTACATGGGAACCCATGGCCAGCTAATGCTTGTTCGTCACCTATGAATGATGGTTCAGGTGTTGTTCAATCACTTATTAATAAACAAGCACCAGCTTCAGGTCTAGATGCTCTTTGTACAAATGGATCTGTTATTGAACTTAATAACGTGACTGTTGTCTTAAATGAAACAAATTGGGAAATACAAATTGTTGGTGCACAATCATCATAGTTAGACCCATTATCAATTTGGGGTGTGGGTGTGGATGTAGATATCCTCCTCACCCACACCCTCTGGTATAGCACCTTTCATAACGGACGAACAATGTATTTTATCAATTGATGTTTATAATATACCAATTCTATTGAGGGTGTGGGCGTGGACTGAGATCTGATGAAAACACCCATACCCTTCAGTGCACTACTTCTAGAGAATTATCAAGTGAATGATTCGTTTTTGGGAACAAAAACATTATATTGGATATCTAGAGGCATAATTTGTCGAGTTCTAGTGACTATTATTATATTAGCTTTTAATTTTGTGCGCTTCAAATGCTAAGAGAAAAAATTATGATTATACATATGCAACGAATACGTAGGAAATGTTGCATCCAGGGGTGGCACTTTACCTTTACTTTACTAGTAACTACGTAACTACAATAGTTACTTAGTTACTAATAAAAGTAACTACTATAGTTACGTAGTTACTTGTAAATGGTAACTACTATAGTTATGTAGTTACTAGTAAAAGTAACTAATATAGTTATGTAGTTACTAGTAAAAGTAACTACTATAGTTATGTAGTTACTAGTAAAAGTAACTACTATAGTTACGTAGTTACTTGTAAATGGTAACTACTGTAGTTATATAGTTACTTTTAACAAAGTAACTACTAAAGTATTAGTTTGGAGTAAATACATTAGTAAAACATTTAGAGTCTGCTGGGGTAATTCTGATAACTCCAGCGAAAATTGCTATACTCATTTTATCCATCTCCTGACTCGCTTACATCCATGGAAATCAAATAAAACTGTATATCATTCGATAGCGCAAACAGTCCTGTATGGGAGCTGAAAGTATCTCGGCGAGTGACATGACCGTTTTAATATAATATGCACAACAAGAACACTTATGTCAACTACATTAAAACTTGTCTGTGGTAATTCGGACCAGCTAAACGATTTCGCCTGGGGTAATTCAGATCATACAAGCTATTTTAGCTGGACATTAGTTATCAAAGCTCTAGCACTTTAACTATACAAAATTATTTGAAACGCCTGAGACAAAAGTTGTCCATCTTTCTTTGCTTTCTCTAACACACCCCTGTTGTGTTTCACTAAATATTCCGAAAGCAATAGTGACTGGATGAGAAAACGTTTGTTTTTCCACACAGAAATGTTTGCTGTACAAAATGACACACTAAAAAAGTATTCAAGGTCATTATTCGTGCGCTATAACGAGATTTATGATGATTTAGAGTTTGATGATTGGTTACAAGTGCTCTTTTTATGTAGTATTGCGGGAATGGTTGGAAATCTTGAAATCACTCATGAATTACCATTTATGATTGTCATTGTTGCTCGAAATCTCGCTTTACTAGTATGGGATCTATAGACTTTTAGTTTTTATGAGCTAAACGCATTTTAATATATCATGGAATAATGACAATGTATTTTCGTTGTATTAAATTACTAATATTATCACAAGTAATATATGTGACTTGGGAATGATCAGTAAATGGTGGCTAAGTAAAAGAGAAAGGATCTCTGTCAAAAGTTAATTGAATTGACAGTATCGGACTAAAATTCTCCGAATGATTAAGCAGCTTAGGGATGTGCAGTGTCTGTATACTGACCAACGACTTGCACTGACGGTGTGTTCAGTGGAGCACCGACTACACCGATACTGTTCCCCAGTGGAGAACTGACTGCACCGACAGTATGTGCAGTGGAACACCGACCACACTGTCACCGGTGTCACTGACGGCACCGACATCGGTGTTCAGTGAAACACTGATACACCGATATCTTTCTGAGTGACTAAAGACTTCAGTCAATCAAAAGTTGTCGGTGTGTCAGTGTTTCACTGATCATCAGTGCTTCAGTGAAGTTGGTATCAGTTGACGCTGATTACAATGTGACCGGTGTTCCACTCGAAACACCGTCAGTGTAGTCGATGCACTACGGAGCACACTGTCGGTGTAGTCGGTGATCAGTTTTTCAGTCGTTAGACCGACACTGCACATCCCTAAATTAAGCATAATTGATGAATTGTTTTATATAGCATTTTCCATTAGTTGGGTGAGGTCAGGTAATTTTGGTAACAGTTAAATAATTCGTGATTCAACTCAATCCAAGTCTCAGTCTTCTATTCCTCATGTTTACATGTGAGCAGCTTCAACAGAAAGGTTGCTTTTACTATATGGCTAGAGCCTTTTTAAATAAATTATGTCCCTGCGCTGTTAGAAATGAATAGATTCAATTACCTTTTTCTGATAACATGGTCTCTGAAAATTTGATAATAATTGTTATTTTACTTTACGATTCTTCGAAGCAACTTGCTCTGCTCTTTAGTAGGATAAGTTACTGTGTGTATTTATAAGTCATGAAGACAAAATTGAAAACATCTTGACTTGAAAACGTAGACATTGCTTGAAATTTTACATGAGATGTCTTGGGATGAAACATTGCCTTAAAATTATTTTTTATCTGTAGATTCTTTATGAATCATCTCTTAAACTATGTTCTTTGCGCTGTTTTTCATATAAATTACTTGAATGAACGAGGGGCGTTAAGAAAAATGATTACTCCTTATATATACGCTAGGTTCTCTCTTCGTTACAATAAATATGTGTTCATTTTATTCGTGTAATTCATATAATCTTCCGAATATTCACGTTTCTTATGATTGACGCTAAAATAGAAGGATGATTGCAATAGACACCATGTAATGCCATCAAAATCAAAACGACAAATTAACATTAGCTGCTCTACTCTAGTGGTTGTAGCCATGACCGACATGTCTTAGGCGCAACAAGCATATAATACTTATGAAAGTATAGAGGTAATTATAAATTCTCCTGTAGATATTGTTATGACCCATGTTTCGTATGAATCATGTAGAGTTATGGAGCGAGTTGGAATGACCGCAGGACAAATAAAAAGATGCTCTTCATGCGACTCAAACCAAGTATATTATGCTATCCGGGCAGATGTTCTACGCTACTTAGACTTGAAGAGACATCTAATCTTTCTCGTATGTATAGAGGGGAATATTCTATACATAACAGAGAACAAAATCTTATACAAGCAGTTTCATGATCTAGCTAATTTGGGTACGAATACGCAAAGTTCGTTGAAATAAATATATTTTGCATTACTGTTAAGAAACGTGCATAGATTTCTTCCAATAATATTTCCCGAGAAACCCTGAGCAGGATAGCTAGGAGGCTTTCAATTGATTAGTTTCTGAACTTCAATAATCCATATACGTGCTCTACGAACAACTAGAACTTATTTGTCTCGAAAAAAACTACAAATGATTCGATTTTTCTTTATTTTTACAGATTTTCATTTCACCTACCAGTATAATTCTCACAATAGCGCACGAATAATGATCTTGAATACTTTTTTGCATGTTATTTTGTAGACCAAACATTTCTGTGTGGAAAAACAAACGTTTTCTCATCTAATCACTATTATGCTTTCGGAATATTTAGTGAAACACAACAGGGATGTGTTATAAAAAATACTTTTGTCTGAATTTCGTTTTTTTAAATATTAATCTCGTTCAGTAACTCAAAAAGTCAAATCTCTTACTATGGTTAGATAAAGCAAAGAAAGATGAACAAATTTTGTCTCAGGCGTTTCAAATAATTTTGTATAGTTAAAGTGCTAGAGCTTTGATAACTAATGTCCAGCTAAACTAGCTTGCGTGATCTGAATTACCCCAGGCGAAATCGTTTCGCTGGTCCGAATTACCACAGACAAGTTTTAATGTAGTTGACATAAGTGTCCTTGTTGTGCACATTATATTAAAACGGTCATGTCACTCGCCGAGATACTTTCAGCTCCCATAGAGGACTGTTTGCGCTATCGAATGATATACAGTTTTATTTGATTTCCATGGATGTAAGCGAGTCAGGAGATGGATAAAATGAGTATAGCAATTTTCGCTGGAGTAATCCGAATTACCCCAGCAGACTCTAAATGTCTTACTAATGTATTTACTCCAAACTAATATTTTAGTAGTTACTTTGTTAAAAGTAACTATGTAACTACAGTAGTTACCATTTACAAGTAACTACGTAACTATAGTAGTTACTTTTATTAGTAACTAAGTAACTATTGTAGTTACTTTACTTTAGTTACGTAAATAAAAAGTAAAGTAAATGTGCCAGCCCTGATTATATAATCGATATGTGATCCTTTTTGACTTCCTCAATCCAGTTGGAAGAAGTCTCACATGGCTACCTTCCTGAAAGGGGGAGGTGTTAGCGTCAGTAGATGGCACTCACTGACGCTAAACGTTTCTCGTATGTTATATATTTCTTGAATCTCTAATTTGATTTGTTACGTAATCTCTCAACTATGATTCATCTCGTGATTATCTTTTTGTATTTCGCTATTGCGCAGTTGTTGATGTTCTATCGTATCGAATACTCGATACTCAATATATTCTATATATGATACGACGACAAAATCTATTATTGAAACATGTTTAGTTCTCTATTTTTGGCAGACTAAATATTAGTTCTACCATTGCTACATAATCCCCAAAACGAGAGCTAACACCATCCGTTATATAGGCAAGGTCAATCTGTATTATGCAATAAAGAAAAGCATGCCCGGGTAGCTCAGTCGGTAGAGCGTGTGGCTTTTAACCACAATGTCCAGGGTTCGAGCCCCTGCTCGGGCGTTCTTTTTCATTTTATTTAAAGAGAATATAGAGTATTATTTTTCTTCTTCTAAATGATGGCATTGAAGGCAAACGAGTCCTATTCATAGAATAAGCAGTGCATAGTCAGTCTTATATATATGGGATAGATACTGAGAACCTTGAGAAAGACTACTATTTTTCTTCCATTAACTATATATTTATATTATTTTAGTTTTACTAAATTATGAAAGGCTTTCCATATAATGCTTTTATACAGAAAGCTCAATAATTGATATAAATTGTTTAGATTATGAAGATTCAAATATTTTATTTTTGTGGAGTCTAAAACAGCGTCTTTCTATATATAGACTTCAATCGAAAATTTTCATCGTGAATCTTAATAAAAAAATTACGTTTGAGAGTGTCAAATTTTACTAATCGTTCAATGTTTCCTATTTAGAAATATAATTTTTAGTTTGCACTTTTGATCATTGATTTTTCGGTTAGTTCATAGAAGTATGATGACATGTAGAACGATTTTTTTCAGTAGAACTACTTATTAAAAAAGCGAAAACAAGCCTGAAAATGTTTCTTACTAATTTTTATTTTCGTTTGATCCTTTCATTTTTTTACTATTCAATTCTCACAATTATGACAACGCTAAATGTACAAAGATATATATATATATATAACACATTTGTCCTTTTCGCTGAGGCTGAATCAGGTACAAATAAAAAAACATAGAAAAGAACAGTTCGCCAAAACGAATAAGTCTATTTATGCTCTTTCTATATATACATATATATAATTCGTCTTTTTGGTTATTTTGGTTTGTATTTCCCTGAAACTGCTATATGTATGTAAACGAATCAATTGAAGTGAAAGGAAAAGTCCGCTTGTAGTTTATTCACTGTTCCCTTTCCGTTAATTCTTTTATAAATATATCAACAAATGTTGGAGTGTTAGCGTAAAAATGAAAATTTTAATTACCCCTATGGAAACTTAATTATTTTTGCATTTCTTATATAATTTTCGATTTTATTAAACAATAAGAAATTTACTTTTTGGATGACGGTTTAGATGTGGAAGGATGTAGATCCGTAAAAAGCAGACCCTCACTCGTACTTATTGTTCATTCAAACTGACTTTGTACAACTACACCCAGACACATAACGGACGTGCGCAAAAACATTCTCGTTCAGACTTCAAAACCAATATTCATTTTCACCTATTTCAGAAATATTGGCAATTATATAAAAATACAAAAACATTTTAATTTGTCGTAGAGGAGATTAAAATTTTAATCTCTACTAATGAAATTTAAAATTCTATTGAATTTTAATTTCTACTGTAACATTATATTGTATGTTGTATATGATATTACACGAGACAGGTAAAGTCGCAATTATAGTTAAGACTTTTTCCATAAACTGGATATTTTTCGACCTTTAACACTGCTGCACAAACTTACTCATTGGGATACCCAAAAATTTTCAATTGTGAAGAAAAAAAACATGAATTGATAAAAAATCAACAACAGGCTGATTAGCAGAGCTTGAATACATATTCAGCATAAACAAAATTCTGCAGTAGATAAAGAATTCTTGAGAACTTTACCTGAATTCTTAAATTCTGTTTGTGGAGAATTCCGCCTGCCCTCTTCTTGGGAGTTCGGTAAAAAAGCCTTTTTTTTAGAATGTAACCATTTTTAAAATATGAAAGTATAGCTATTAGATTCGAACATACATACCAAATTGTCACTTACCAAGTGTTCAGACGATTGAACCATGTTATCGTGGAACTTACTGCTAGATATGAATATTGATCATGAATCCTATCTCATATAGTTTCAAAGTTTTTAGCTTGTCAAAAAAGTTGTTTCTTAGAAAAAAAGCATTTAAGGAACTTTTAATAATATTTTCTGGTCATTTTTTCATTAAAATTAATTAATCTTAATAGTAAAAATAACTTGTTAGTATAAAAGTAAATATTTTCAATGATCTCTCGAGTTTAAGATTAAACTTAATCTGACAGATTCAATGATTTTAACGAAATAAAATGTAAATTTATTATTAAAATATAACTGAATTAAAAAATTACAGTCTGTTATATATGCGTAAAGGAACTGTTTAAAACGTAGATCAGAATATCCAACATACAATAAATATTGTGTGTTTTATTTTCCTGTGGCACAGTTTCGGAATTCTAAATCAAGATATTAAAAGCCCTTTCTAACTGGTCACAAAAATTCAAGTTTAATTAATTCTTCATTGTCCGCTAAATAGACGGAAGTCATCTTGTAACTTAGACTCTATAAGTTGATGTAAGCATATCCCTATAATATGTCCTACCGTCTTGACGCCCGTTAGTTATTAAATAATGTCGGTCTGTGTTCGACTTCATCTATGATCTATTCCTTTCTATTATTTGTCTGACCTATAAACCAGTCTAGATGGGGTGGATGGACAATCGGACTAGTCATGTAGCCCGTCCTCGCCATTTTTTGCTCGCCTGGGCAGTCTCATTTTCTAATATAGCAAAGTTGGGATTTGAACACTCGCGTTGTCAATATCTTCTTTTTCTTGGATAATTATCGGAATTGAGCGGTGAAAATCAACATCGTGGACAATCATATGTAAATTTCTTTAAACTAATGCATAAATGGCTAGATAATTATTAGATTTACTTCTTATCCTGTGACCCTTTCATTTTGTTTTCAAGTTGAGTTTCCTACAAATTTTTGTTTCGTTTAAACTTTTATTTTCTGAAAATTTGATTGATAATTGTTTACGATTCGCTTGTTTTGCTTGCAATTTAAAATGCAGGGCGGTAATGAATGTTCTATTAATTAAATAAATGAACTCGAAACGCGTTCGCGAAATTAAACTGCGCATTTCTTTAAAACACAATTTATCAAATACAAATAGTTTAACTTAGTCGATTGCTGAGAAGCAAGAGCTGAGACTAGAAAATTGAGTTGTATGATAGTCATGTAAGTCAATTTGTTTTCATTTGATTTACGTGCACTCACACATCCGCGATCCACACTCGAAAAGACAAGAAGAGCAGAAAAAAACATTCCACTGCTCTTTCAATAAAGGTTCGAAAGAAAGATATGACCCGGCAGATTATGTAACAAATGCTGTGCTCTTTTTACATTCGACGCAATATTCTTTCGCTTCTCATATTTTATCGCACTTCCTTTCTCTTGTTTGTATGAAATTAATCTGATGCTACGTCATTATTTGGTATTTAATCGACGAGAATCTCTTGCCACTCCGTTTCCATTTCTGTTTCTTTCTTTGCACTTTCGACAAGACAAGTAGTAGACTCAGTCAACAATGTTGATGAAAGAAAACATCTTCCTACTTCCTCTACTATGGCATGGTATTGCTATAGCACAGGGGATCTCTCTAGGTATTGAAAAACCACCACATATGTATGCTAAAACATCCAGCGTTTTTCATCGGAAAAAATTGTGGGACACTAATCTTGTTACAGTATCGTTTATCAATGGCAATTGTGATCAGCACTCAGCGGTCCGAAGGGTTGCTTCCGAATGGACACCCTATTCAAACATTGACTTCATATTCATCGATCAGCCAGACAAAGGAAATATTCGTGTGTCATTTAATGACAAGCTGGGAAGTTGGTCTTGCTTGGGTACGGATTCCAAAGACAAATCTAAAGCAAGTATGAATTTTGGCTGGATTGAACGAAGAACAATCCTGCATGAATTCGGGCGTAAGCGGGAACACTCGAATCTTTTTCGCATAGCTAACTGAAATTTTGTTGTATTTGCCAAATTAAGATGCTTTGGGATTGGATCACGAACAGCATAATCCAATTGGAGGAATAAAATGGAACGAAACAGCAGTATACAAAAGGTACAGTGGATATCCAAACTTTTGGTCTCCTGACGAGATCAAATCAAATGTGATCGATATGTTCAACAAAGATCAAACAAATGGAGTCTACGATCCAAACTCAATTATGCACTACGCAATTGATGCCGATCTAACAATAAACAAATGCTGTGGTACAAAACAAAATAATGATCTTTCGACAGGAGACAAACATGCCATTCAAAAGCTATATGAAAAATTCAAACCATCCAGAGGTAAGAGGCGGTAGAGACACGAAGCTTTTCTCGAGCAGGTATACAGATTTCTCATCTCATCTCATCCCATTCAGAAACACAACTAAGTAACAGCTGTGATAGTGGTTGGAAAATTGTCGATGCTTCTCCATTTTGACCTAGCGAAATAAATTCTGCTAAATCATTCTTCAGATTTTGATTTTCATAAGTTTGTTCTTTGATTAAAGTTTTTTGGCAGAATTGACTATCAGTGTAAAAATAAGATTAAAATGAGCGCCACCGTCACAATAGAAGAGAAATTCAAAAAATTGTATACCTACCCTGTCAGTTAACGCGGTATATAAATGCGATGCTGAACAATGAAATGGGCGACAATATAAGAAACTATAGCGATTCAGATTCCAATGATAGAATTTACTTCCCCAATATATATATGAACACAAGATCTAGAACTATGTGTACGCGCATAGGGGAGTGTTTCAAGATTCACGGCTTTTTTTTCTGTTGGATATATCCAGACTTTTTTCACGCGCTTTCTGACTCGTTACGGACTTTATTTAAAAATGTGACATCTAAATTCAACATTACGGAAATAGTTTATCACATTCGGAACCAATCTCAGAAAGATTGAATTTCTGTTCCTCATGTTGAGTTGTGCTGAAAACTTGTACACATAGGTAGTTTTACATGCTATTCAACATGAGGCATTTACTGGAGAGACTCCTTCAAGGGGGGGGGGGGGGCGGCTATTTTTTGCCATGAG